TCTACTGAAGAAAAGATAGACAGGGACATTGTCTTTAATGCAAGGTATGTGCGTTATTGTTGTTTGAGGTGTACGAGAACAGTTCAACACAATATTGCATAAAATGGGAATGTTTGGATCTAGGAGGTGCGTCCATCATCCGTCGTTATTACTTTATGCAAACCTTGGATATGCTTAGACTTTGGCTAATATGATGAAGTTGGTTCCTGATAATGATGGACTAAGTTTACTTCAACAATCTTCTGGTATCTGCTTCACATATCTGCTTACCTAGTAACCTACATATAATAATTTGTTTGAAGCGTATCGAGAAATCTCCATAAAGAAAAGGCCTTGAGCGCATCAGGCATAAAAAAGCGCATTGGAGAAGCACTTAAGTCTTTGACTGAGTCAGATACAGTGAATTAAGCGTGGTCAGTGTTTCTCAATTTGTAGTACGCGGATCCCCAGTCTCATATTTAGTCACAAAAACTCTAACGATCGTTACGACTTTTTTCATTTCACTTCTTTATTGGTTCGGTCAGATGAGCGTAGGATAACATAGCACACATCAATTGTATAATACAATCGAGTAAAAAAAATATAGAAAATAAATAAGTAAAATAAACGTTAAAACAAAGATGCGTGTGAAGGTAGCTCCAAAAGCTGGCTCCACAATCCTACCCGCCGCTGGATTACAGCTGACCGAATAAATGCTGTACGCCTGCGATACGCCGTGACCGTAGCGTTACTCATAGAAGCCCGTGACGCGCATACGAGGTAAGCGCGGTAATTATATATATTCTATTTGTGCCTACAAGTCTTATGCTATTGCGGTATTGCATTAACTGGTTCTGCAGAGTTTGTAGATTCGTATCTAAAGTCAGTCGTATACCTCAACTCATAACAAACAGACCTGTCGTGTATTTTTGTTTCTTGAAAACCTGCATAAGTGCGTCTATGTGCTTTTCAGTATTTAAAGTACACAACAAGAGCTATTATAATCAGTTATCAAAATGTTGTTACAAACGGTCTTACACCCCAGCTCCAAAGAAATAAGTCTGTCGGGTACGGTGTGCGATACTCCCTGCAATTTAGGAAAAAAAATGTGTTCGTGAAAAACTGCAGAAGTGCGACGATATGCTTTTCAGGGTTTAAAGTACACAACAAGGGCTATTATAATCAGTTATCAAAAAATACACGACAGGCCTGTTTGTTATGAGTTGACGTTTACGACTAGCTTTATATACGAACCTACAAACTCTGCAAAACCAGTTAATGCAATACCGCAATAGCATAAGACTCGTAGGCACACATAGAATATATATAATTAGCGCGCTCACATCGTATGCGCGTCACGGGCTTCTATGAGTAACGCTACGGCCACGGCGGACAGCATTTATTCGGTCCGCTGTAATCTAGCGGCGGGTAGGATTGTGGAGCCAGCTTTTGGAGCTACCGTCACGCGCATAAAACAAAGTGATAGATACAGATTAAAAGATTGCTCCGATTGTAATGTATAGATAAATAAAATAGACAAAATTCAAAAACATAAAATGTAAAAATGAGTAAGAAAGGTAACAGTTGAAATTAAGACATAGGATCGCACAGTGATGACTATCATAAACCGTATTATCAGAATTACTCATATTGGTCATTTATCACTTCATCTGACACATATTCATCCAAAGAGTAATATGCTCTACTTTCTGATAGTCGCTGTAAAATTAAGCAAATCACTTTTTCTTTTACGGAAATTGAAATCACTGGTCACCTTACAAGTATTAAAACGTGGCTACTTTCATTCAACGCTTAGGTATGGTATAAGATCATGCAGTGATTCTAGTTTGATAAATAAACTATATAGAAGAAAACCATTAGAACTATATTAGGTTTAGGATAATTAGGATTCTTTTATCGAGATCACTTTAAGAATCTCGAAATAGTGCCTGTTCGAATATTATGTATGCGACTTTATTAGATATAAGTACATGAAAATACAACTACTTCACAAATTCTAACTTTCACAGGTACCAGACTTAATTATCGCATGACTTGAGGGCACCCAAATTCTCACTATCAATATCAAAACAGGATTTCCCACCTTTGGATCTGTATAACCATCTACCAACAAGTATTCGTCAACTGAATACAGTTCAGTTTAAACATATTTTGATGAAGTTCATCACTGAACATTTTTTTTATTTCAAAAGTGCATATTTTGATTCAAAATTTCAGCCAGAGAAGTATGCGTACTGTCGAATTTTTATATCTAATGTATTTCTATTCTATTATTTGTATCTCTGCATTTTTTCTGTGGTCGCTTTTATATCAATACCAATTTTGTTGAATTGTAAGTTTTCCATGACATGTCTATCTTGTACATTGTTAATGAACAGACGAAATAAATATCTATCTAATATTTCTACCTATCCACCCCCCAGCAAGAGATCTGTTTTCTATTACGGGGATCCTTGAAAATTGTGCCTGATTTTAGTGGTAGTTCATAGCTGAAAATGTGGAGAGACGCCAAGCCAGATGATTCCAAGAGCTATCTTAGACTGTTTTGCTCCATTTTTAAAACTACATCAGTCTAAATAGCAAATTCGCTTGCCCCATTCCTGAGAACCACGTTCTCGTTCTCTCATTTGTTCAAGTTGGCATGGAACTCGGAGCACGATACTCGGGTGACGTTGATTCTCGCTTAGATGTTTCCAATTTGATTATGAAATGGAAAATGTACAGCAACGGCTGCTGCACTCCCAGCCGCGGGAATGTGATAGAATTGCTGGATTGCTGGCTGGAATGACTGCTAGATGTTTGCTTTACGTTTCTGCTAATATTGTTGGTGCAACATGCGACAGCAGCCAGCAGAATGATGTAATAGGGTAGCAGAATCATCTAAGGCATTTGCTTCATTTGATGTTTACTTTTGATTTGCATAACTGTGTTGAGCGTTGTGCGATCCAGACCTATGCCGACGACGCACAACTAACATTAAATTTCAACTTTAGTAACCTCAATGAAAATTCTTACAAGGCTAACGTAGACTAAGTCAGTATTAAAAATTGTTGATAGTGACACTCCCTAAAGATTGAGCCTAGCAAATCTAATGCAATTGTATTTTCTTCTAATTGTTTTCCAGTGATTCTTGCTAATGTGATTCAGGTGTCTTTGATTTTATTTAGCATGTGAATGCCTCTGTTGAATAAAAATATGCATCCTTGAAAGAAAGAATTTTGTTGAGAGTCCTGTTTTATCAAAGATATTTTATTCATTGTTCATTTATTATCCATGTCTTGCCGATTCATATATGGTGTCAAAAAGCTTGATAACGTGTCATCCAAGATCAAAGAGTTGAAGTGGTTGAACGTAGACTCATTTCTAGGTGCATTCATACATAAATTGATTAATATAAGTTTGCCTACATATCATGTGCATTGAGTGCAAGTTTTTTTAAGATACTGCTAATTTGTCAAAACCAATATAATAACTAAGTTTCACAAGTGATTGTATTCAGTCATTTTTGATTTAAGGAAATTTGAGGAGAGCAGAGGTTGTTCCATAATTCTTTCTAAAGACAAATTGGGTGTCGGGCTTATTTCAAGATAGGTGGAAATTTGCAAATTAACTCTGTAACATTTTTGACGAAGGGGCAATAGGCTTATAGCTCATACGTCACCTAGGTCAAATAGATTTATTTTTTAGGCACTGGTACAATCAAACTGTATGCAAGTAGCCTATTTCTAAAGACTTGTTGACAATCTGTACAAAATGATTGAGAAAACGGGTAAGCGTGGTTTTAACATTGTTAGAGATATGACGTCAATCCCTTTCGCAGCGGACTTCAAGCTACCTATTGCTCCTAGAACGTATTTAGGCCTAACAGTATTTATTGCTAAATATACTTATCTGTTAAAATACAATATACGAGTTTAGTAATATCACAATTTCAATTTAAAGCAAGGGTATTTCGTATCATCACGAGCACTTAGATACAACAATCTCTTCAGTACGCCATTATTCCATAAGACATGCTTGCTCCACTCAAATCAAAAAGCTTTTCTAGCAGCAAAATTGGTAACTAATCCACCCTTTAGGAGTCGTCTGTTTAAAATTATTGTTCTAAAATTATTGTTACAAACGTATTATTAATATGCATTGCATGCATTTAATGTTTAGATATGAATGACAGCCACACGTCTAATCCACAACACATAAACATTTGTACACTCACTAATCGATATCCGTGGAAGCTTATAGGCATGGTTTCAACCAAGAATTCATCATCGATTTTGCAGTCAAGTATCGCGGTATATATCAAAATTTCCAAACTACAGCGTCAAGCAGGCAACACCGCGGTCTACCATCACCATCGCCTGGCAGAAAACTAGTTACCACTATGTTACTTATTCTTATTTACTATCCTTCAAATTGGATGAAACAATAGAACTTGTCTTCACTAAGTGACAAAGCTGGACAAATTTATTATAACATTTGTATTTTACAGTAGGCTGTTACCGGTTGTCATTGCTGAAAACTCCAGATAATCTTGAAAGCTAATAATGTAAGCTTTCCAAAATGTTCAAGCTTGACAAAACATTGAAAGTTTAAATAGTACCGAGAATTGTGAAAATAGGTATATTCTTTAATTCACCGGTTGAGCTACCGGTGCAACCGGTTAGCCAATTTTGCGTCCTTTAATTTCCGCTGGAACGACCGGTTGTACATCAACCTTGTCTTTATATTGGTGGTGAATAGAGGCGTATTTTGTAATTCACCGGTTGAGCCACCGGTGCAACCAAAATTTCCGTCTGAGCGACCGGTTGTACACCAAACTTGTCTATAAACTATATAGACAAGTTTATAGACAAGTTTGGTATACAACAGCTATATAGACAAGTTTGGTGTACAACCGCTCGCTCAGACGGAAATTGAAAGAAGAAAAATTGGTTAATTGCTTGCACCGGTGGCTCAACCCAAGCCCAACCGGTGAATTAAAGAATACGCCTTACGTCACCGGTGCCAACAGCATCCACCGACGTTCGGGCTCGGTTGATCGGGTTGATCCATGATATTCTAACCTCTACATTTTATATTTTTTTTTACAACTACAGTTTTGTGGTTTTCTGGTTCAGAGTTCTTTTATTGATTCTCAGAACGCAAATTCTTCTGATAAATCCGTTTGAAAAAGTATTTTCTACATGTTCCAGATCAAGCTTTCCTAGAAGAGATTACTGACCACTATTACAAGAAGTACAAAAAACAGGCCATGGATGATACATTCGAGGGCAATGAAAATAATAATAGCACCATACACTCACAGTCTGAGCTAGCTCTAAATGAAACTCACACTGGTATGTATTTACTGTAGGCAGTCAACATAGTAAAATAACGTGTATTGATTGCTTTGGTTGGCTAAAAAATCAAATTCTGTCTAATAAAATATCGAAATCACAAAATATGGAAGCAAACTCTTGAAATTTGTTAGTAATATGAATTATTGTTTTTATGTTGAAAGAATCTCAAAGTAATAAAGAAAACCTACATTGCTGGACTAGCAGTGCAGTGAAATTATTATTGGACTTGCGACTAGGAAAAGAGGAGGAGTTCAATAAGCCAGTCTGTAGAAAAATGAAACTGTGGAAACAAATAGCTGACGAAATGAACAAAATTGGCAAATACAATGTATGTGGAAATGACTGCTATGGAAAATATCGGAATTTGCTTCAAACCTACAGACAAAATAAAGAAAAAAGACTAAAAAGAACAGGTGAATCACAAATCACGTGGGAATTCTTTGAAATAATGGATAGGGTGTTGGGTAATAAAGCCTCCAGTATGCCTCCACCACAGAGCCTAAGCTCATCCATCAACAAAAGTATGATATCAGAAGACATAGATTCCTCAGAAGACTCAACACAGGGTACAAACAAAGGTATTCGCAAAAAAAATAGTTATCATTACAAGAATATCTTTTTTTAAAAAATGAAAGAGAAAAAGATATGGACAGAAAAAAAAGTTTTAAAAGAGAAAGAAATAGAAGCTGTCAACAATTTAGCAGATGCTATTAGAAGATCTGCACATTCCAAATGAAGTGATGCATAGTTGTATAATTCTTAATAGTTTTATGTTCGAGTTAAATATTTTTTAGTTTTTCACGTACCTGCCTCAGAGTTCCTGTTTATTTTGTGATAGATATTAAGTTAACATGTTTATTTTATTAAAGATATAATGTGAATCCACTGCTGCCTAAATAAATCATAATTTATTTTATGTGTTGAGTTCCTCATTTCACCAGAACACCCAGCAAAAGTTGGCTTGGCGGAATAATGCTGGCAAAAAAATTGGCGAAGGATTTTGCAGATCACACAATATAAATACTGGGTAATCTGCAAAATCCTTCAAAAATTTTTGCATTGAATTTGTAGTAAAGATATTCCTTCAGATATATATTAAAAACTTATGTGTGTTGAATATTTTATTTCCATATATATGACATCAAAAAGAGTTCCAAAAACAAATGTGCATTTTACAAAAATAAGTAATTATTATAAATAAGTATAAATACGACTAATGTATCAAAATTGATCTGAAATCTATGTCATTTGAAGCATGATGTGCCCTCTTTTATTTCTGCCAAAATCACAAACTCTCCGTTCAAAATTTTCATCACAGCCATCATAGCCATCACTATTATCTAGCTCCATTTCATTATCATATTTTAAACGAAAATTATGAAGTATACAAGCTGCAACAACTATATATTTGAAATTTGCTATATTTATCAAATCTATATACTTAAGTTTACGAAAAACTCCTTTAAGTAGACAAATTGCATTTTCCACAACGACTCTTGTACTAGATAATCGTTTATTGAATCTTTTTTGGGCATTGCTTAAATGACCATTATCCTTGAATGGCACCAACTAATAGTTTTTGTGCGGGTATGCTGAATCACCAAGCAGATGGTATTCATCAGGAATCAAACCATCATTTTCAATTCTATGATGGATTGGTGAATTTGACCACATCCTGGCATCATGTGATGAGCCTGGCCATCCACAAAACACATCTATAAATTCTTTTTTACTGTTGCAAAAGCATTGAGTAGTAGCCCTTTCTGTTATAGTACGAGTTATCTTTTACACCTTTGATAGCTATATGGCTACCATCTATACATCCTATCACATTGGGAAAAGAATTTTGGCCACGCAAAGTATTGAAATCCTTCACAGTTTTAACTATGTCTGCACCTGTTGGCCACTTGATATATTTATCTTGGAGAAGACATATTAATTTGCACGTTCTAGTAAAAATGGTGTGAGCATACCCAGGACTCACTCCAAATCTATCGGCGATACTTCGAAAGCTCTCTTGATTAGCCAAAGTCCAAAGGCTTAATAGAACACAGGGTAACAGCTTACTAGCTGGCCTCCCAACAGTGTGAATCTCCTTTTTGGTTTCCAATTCTGAGCATAAATCCTGAAAATAAACGAATGACAGAGTTAAGTTCTCGATTTGTTAAAATAGATCGAGTATTAAATATAAAGGCTAACACTTACCTCAACTTGGATCCTTGTGAGCCGAAAATGTGATTTAAAATCACTCAAACTATAACTGTTGACTACTGTATCTGCATACTGTTCAATTTTGGTATGAGTTGCTCTTTCTCTCCACTAGATAAGTTCTTCATCCGAATCATCACTCGACTCGCTTAACAGACGTTCCACCACAATACCAACTGCTGCGTAAATTGCCATAATGATTTTAAATGATAGGCAGTTCAAACTAGTAAGCGTCCATTCACGATAAAAGAAAGGTTAGGTTTTCTAAAAATGCGTCTTGTATGTTCAAGGAAACCGGTTGCTGACGTCACCACGTCAGCTGTCAACCATAAGTTCACCGGATCCATCAGTGATGGAATCAACCGGTGAATTAAAGAATATACCTTACCTGCAGTGTACTGTAAAATGCAAATGTTAGTCTCTATTTGAGGGCCAAGGGTATCAAATAAAATTACACTCTACCCCAAAGCACTATACTTGACTCATCACATCGATTATCCGCAGTTCCACCCACTCAAGAAGATAACAACAAGTTAATAAGTTTTCCGGATTGATCCCTTAATCTGAGTGACGTTATCGTTGGAGAAAGCTTTCAGACGTTATAACCTCGAACATCAGATAAACAGCATAATACTACCAATTATTCAGTCCCCTCTTCTATTGGACTCTGTCCTATCTACGAGTTTCAATGAATAAAAAGAACTTATCTTTCCACTTTTATGAAGGCAGACACTGGGATGCTTCACAATATGTGTATCGACGGAAGGATGGGAGAATCGTCAAATATTATCGGCTTCTAGCACTGAATAAGAATGTTCCTCTTACTACCTTTGTGCACTTTTAATGTTACATCTGCTTACGTGAATATTCGGAGATACTTCAAGAAAAGTCGCAATTGTATAATTGTGAAATAGTCTCTGAGGAATGGTGACTGCATAAGCCTACTCTTAGGCCAGTATTCGATGATAATGGAAGTGTCATGATATTAATAAAAATGTAGCTTGCGGGCGTCTTGCAGCAAAAGCCGACATCATATTCTAACCTATGTTTCTGATTCATTACAAAATCTTTATGGCAAAAGACTTCCAGACAAAATTGGCTTAAATGTTAGTATCTGCTCTTCATGCCTATCTGATCGAAATTGAAGCTCAATAAATTCTATAAATAATATGAGCTTACATCAGGCACAAACATGATTTTATAATTTCTTTGATAACATATTAGGAACTGAATAGCTCCTATAATGCCGGTTTGACTTATCTATTGAAAGTTATGTAACGCTTCCTTTCCGCAAAAAGTCCAGAAAAGATGGAATGCAATGAAGATTCCAACTTTTCTGCACAATCACAGAAAGGGGGTTAACATTAGCTTCCGGTAGCTCAGTCGGTGGCATGAAGACATCTACAGGCGTGTAGCTGTGTGTCGACCATGGCATGGCTAGAGGATAGAAGAACAAACAGAACACAAAAATTTAACAGATTTTATTTAACAAAAAAAAAAGGCATTTTCATTACATTATAATTTTACAAAAATAACAAAATAAGTTTTTAACGCTATCGACTTATCTTTTGCTGGTCCATTTTGACTCGACTGAAGCCAGGATGGCCAGGGGTTTGAAGGAGAGGTCCCAGTTATGAGGGGTGACCTCCATATAGTGGCTTCACAACCAGTTGTAGACGAAGTTAAAGGCGATGGCGCTGCCAAGGTACATGCATGGGTGAAAATATTGGCCAAGGCTAGGCAAAGTGAAAGGGAAAGAGAAAGGGGGTGGCCCCAATCATTTTTGTCCTATACGGACACACATCCTAGAAAATTCTAGCACATGGTGCTATATAACCTTGTGCTACTGAGAAGAAATTTCTAGCCGTTCTTCGATCGGCGGCTCAGGTGAAAAAAAGAAGCGCGAGGAAGATCGCAGATCAGGAACTCCGCATCAAGCGCTCCAAGCGGAAAATTTTCCAAGCAAAAAAACTAGAGATGGGATTAATGAAATGATAATCGAGAAGTGATTTAATAAATACGATCGGACGGTGAAACCGTTACACTCGCCCCAACTTAACCAAAAAAAAAATCGAAGAAGCATTTAAGAATTTTTTTTTTTTACTAGGAAATTGAAAGTTATCACGGAAGGACAAATGTACAACCATTCGACCAGATAACAAGTAGTAAAAGTAAGGTAGAAACAAAAATGTTAGAAGAGAATTGGAAGAAAAAGGGATAGCCTCAAGTCTACCAAACAAGAGGGATGGTTATAGCACCAACTCGCTGAAAAGTACAGTGAAGTTGCACTTAAAAAAAACTATCATCATATGATGAAAAACCCAAAACATAAAACATCGTCATACCTAAGACGAGAAAAATAATAAACCAAAAGTTTCAGCAGTAGTCCAAGCACGAATCACAATGGCATCCAAAATGCACGACTGACTACTAAAAACTTCAAAACTAAGTAAGTACCCAAACTATAAGAGGTACTAAAAAAATAATAATCTTGCTCAAAACAATTGCCAGATCATCTCGCAATACTCCAAACCCAAAAAGAATATCATATACAGTGATATTTTAAACCAATATCCAATATTGAAAAAAAAACAGTGCATTATTATTTTCAAAATATGAAAATCAAAAGAAATTAACAAATTCCATTAGGAATTCAAGTCATATAACAAAACAATTTACAAGTACTAAACCAATGAAAACTTGATCACGAAGGTATTTTAATCAAAAAAGATGTTAACTAAGTGCAGTTCTGATTCCACAAAAAAATTGTCGGGCGCCAGCAGTCTGTAAGACTACAAAATAATTCAAAATATTTTCAGAGAATTAAAGTATATAAGGGACATTCATGAAATATTGAAGTAAGATTTTCAAAGTCAAAATATAGCTTAAGTTCAATCAATGAACTAGAATTCAAGAGTAAGTTCAATCAAAATTTTCGGGTCATGTGACAACATAAGAACCAGACCAAAAAAAAAAAAATTTGAAGTACAATATAGAAAAGAGCAAAATAAATTTCCAAAAAAACTAAGTGCAACACAAGTGCAACTGTAAATCTAATAGTGTTAAAATCATAAAGTGAAAGGAAATATTAAAGCTATATGAGCATGATTTTATAAAGGGTTCTCAAAAAAATTTAAAAGTGAGCAAAATATTAAAAGTTTCATGAGTAATAAATGAGAAACGAAGTGAGCATATGTAAAATGCAAAATAGCGAAACGAAAATCACAAGGTATTTTAATAAATCATGATACATGAGAGTAATGCCGCAAGCAAAAATTGTATGCAAAAGACTACGATATATGTAGGTGCAAAATTGGAGTTATAAAAAAAATCTAGTGAACAAGAAATAGAAATAAATATGACAGGTAAGAATTCGAATTTTGATTTAAAGCAAAAATATGAGAGAAAGACAACTTTCTAGGGTCACCATAGGTGCATTCCAAAGCCCTAGACAAGAATGTCTATAGTCTATGGAATATTTTCATGTAGATCACTGATATCATCAGCGCACTTCAAAGTCTACACTGAGAATAACCATAAAATTGTAAAATGAAAGTTAAGTTCAAATATGAAATATTACAAAATTAGAAAAACTATAATAATTTACCAGTGTAAAGTATGGAAAGAGAATTACTATACTGAATCTATAAGAATTGGCGATTACTTCAAGTCAAGACA